CCCCCCCCCCCCCTCCTCTGTAATGGGGCCTCAAGAATAGAAAAAAAAATTGTCATTTTTTAAAGAACAGTTCCACATATCAGTGGATTCTCAAGATCTTCTAGGAAATGCTGTCCAAGTCTAGACATGCATTGTGTCACATGATGCACTAATTAAATTAGTTTCTGTGGAGCACAAAATGATCTTCAAATGATAATATGCTGAAGTAGATGTGATTAACAGATATAACAACAGATAAAAGAAAATGGATGGGGAGGATGAAGACAGATAAATTTGCAAAATTTAAGGTTCCTTTGATGCCAAAACCACAAGTCAAAATATTCCCTAGAATAAGAACAAACATTGCATGAATCCTAAAACGTGTTATTTTCTTACCTTCACAACCTGACCCTGCCAGAATAAGTTTGTCTCTTGGTGTAAGTTCTCTCACCTTCCGTACTAAATCAATCTTCTCTTCGGGTCTCATATATGCATATTCACCGTTGGAGCCTTGAACGACATATCCTACAACACAATTAAAGTGCAATAAATATTATTTGCTTCTTTGCCAAAACAATCTTTGCTAGCTCTGAAAAATGGAGTAACTTATCTATAACAAGGAAAGAAAGTAAAACAGGTTAAATGTTAATGAAATTAAGGGTTTTGAGGCTAATGTTATAAATGCCTTCATGTAGACATACTCTATTTTTGTCACTAATTTTTAGCATTATAATCTGTTTTGTTTTGAAATTTAGAAATATTTTATTACAAAAACTTTACAATTCTTGTTAACTATTGTGATATTCTTTCTGATGTTTTTTATTAATCAATTCTGGACCTGTTCCAAGCTAAGATCGCAGTTCCAAGACAACAGACTTTTGAAACGTGACAGCATTCATGCTTGATATGACATAATGATTGACAGGTGATTATCACCGAACAACATTGGATGCTTGAAATACCATGTAAGTTTGTTTACTATGATGTCAATACTTTTGGAGATACATAGACAGGGAACACAAAGAGCCCCTTCCTCCCCCCTTATCTGCCCAGGCTTACAAACGCAAAAAGGCTCGCGCTAAATAGGGTTTACACTGATTCACTGTTTTCAAATACAGGAAAACATGATTGTTGTAAATAGAAAGGTTGTTGTTCCAATACAGCATCACATTTGATATTGTTTATTACCTGTACCAATTTCCTGTGGGACTAATTAGTTAAATATAAACATAAGTCATTAAATCAATCTTTTGAATGAATATTGGCACGAGACACCTTCGCTACATTTTTAGTAATGATTAGAATGTACTTTTATTTTCAACACTACTTCAATATTATTCACATGGAATGTTTGCTTGAACGCTCGAAACAATGATCAACACTGTTTATGACGGCAAAGACAACATGGATAATGCATCCCTGAAACACCCAAATACATCAGCTGACGCCTCACATAACACGTTAATTAGATAAGATGCCTGCGTCTGTTTAAAATAGACTTGCAGTCTCATGATCATTATTAAACAGGTGGTAAAATATATATTGGATGTAACAATGGGACATTAATATGCTCTGTCCTACATTATTATGATATGTGTTTCTTAAAAATCAGTAATTAATCACTGTTGATATGAAATTTATCAACATTATGTCATTGTGTAGTTTGTTGCACGGCTGCATAGATCTCAAGTTGACACCCTGGTTTTAGGAAGCATGTTAAGAAAGTCCTCAACAGGTCTAAATGAAATTTTTTGTGATCAATAATCATCACATAGATATTTAATTCTGTATATAATTCTAGCTTCTATTTTTAATTGCGGAAGCAACATTTCAATAGTATGATATTTCTGACAGCAAAGAGACCTACATCAATATCCTAGTGTTAAGGGAGACCAAGGTTAATTAAAGCTTAAAGCAGATTGTAAACAAGGATGTTCTCTTTAGATATTGTCACCATGTGCACTAACTGAAAAAAACTCAGTTGTAACAACTGGGAGGTTACTATGTAACATTGTCACAGTACAATATTTTTAGACTCCACTCTATACGCAACTTCTTAAAGACTCAGTATTGCTCATTGTGCACTGCACGCTGCGATCTCTTGGCAGCCATTTTTGTGATGTTGAAAATCCTGGGGATTCTTTTTTTTGTTGCCAGAATAGAACTCGAAAACAATAGACGCCTCACTCCCTCGAAAACCAAAACAACAACAGAGGCACGCAAAGCATAATGGCCAATACTGGGTCTTTAAGCTCCCTTAAAGTCTCTCCTTGCGAATCACAGATTCTCTCCTGATGGAGTCACATCACTTATGAAGCATGTATCTTGGAAAAATTAAGCTCTAATTTCACAGCATAGTCATTAGTAATTACATGTAATCTAAATGTACACAAACCTTAACAATTCCTGTTTATTTTTAGAGTTTGTACCATACTGAATTTATATTTTGAGTTTTCATCTAGTTTCCTTTGAATTAAAAATAATATACTATCACAAAAATTGTTGTGATCTTCACCCTTGCCTTACGAATAGAAATTAATTAAGAGGCACAGTCCTTGGCAAACCCCCTTCCCTGAGCAGCTTTAATTTTAGTTGCATCTTTCCATGTTTGAAAGCATATATGAATAAGGTACTTAAAATTCCAAAATAATATAATGGTGACCTTGAACCCAGCCCCTTGATTGTGTGAGATATATTTTGGGAAAAAATAAGGTAGTGAATTTTGGCCCACGGGATCTGAGGAAGCTAAGTGCTTTGTTCAAAATATGAATATGTTGAAAGGGGATCCTTCTTAATTTACTAACAATTGGTCATGAATTTGTTGCTAAGGAAGGTTTTGAAAACCAGACCTCCTCAGGATAAACTTTTTACACAGGTTTGTTCCATTGAAGAGTCCTGCAAAAGCTTCAAATCACGGCCACATTTGACCACTAGAAAAACCCTAAAACTTAAAAGGAATCTACATGCAAAAAGTTAAATCAGTTTCAATAGATTAAGAATGTCCATGTACTTAACTTTCTACAATAGCTTTCCTCTTTTATGTGTGAACAGTAATTCTGCGTGTATGATTAAACAGAAGGCTACTGTATGTTATTTATGATTCATAAGAAAATCAGAACTCTTCCTCTTTTCCTCTGAGTTTTAGGAATTTAAAATTCTAATGTGCAGTTTGGGACTGGCACTAGTTACAAAAGAGTAATCACATGTTTTCCAAAGCAAATGTTCCCTCATATATAATTCACCATTTATAAGCACTGCAAAACACTCCAAAATAGCTTTCCTCTAAATATTGCTTTCAGCAATCCCTTAGTAACTGCTCTAAATCTGTAGTTAAGAAGGACCCCCTTAAAATAACACATTGACAAATATAAGTATAACAAAGTGTTAAAATGGAACATGGCACTCTCGTTAAGAGTCAGCTCAGCCTGATTTCACTGGTTGAAAAAGAACTTAAATCTGACTGAAATTTCTCACAAAACAAAGACATGAGGTTACTTTAGAGTTCCAAAGGCCAGAAAAGTGTCAATAGTATTTAGCATAAAAAACTAATTGGGGACACTATTTACACAATAAAATATACCTTAACTAAAGTTAAAATTATAAATGGGGTACAAATGTGAATCATGTCTAAAAATGTCACCGATGAGTTGCAATAACATCTAGCAGTGTAAAAAGATTGCTTGGGCCAGTATTTAAGGTGTCTTGATACAGTTATTTCTGGACCATAGCAACTATTTTCAAATTATCAGCTTTTTTTAAAAAGCTGATTGGAAATAAAAACAGTTTTCCCTTATTTCCCTTGATATGACAATTACACCAGTTGGAAATGGATTGAGCTTTGGTATTGAGTATTTCTTAAAGCAGTCGATATATCCATGGAGACAAAAACGAGTACAACACAAATTTTGTGCCACCTGATATGACATGAAAAATCTTATATAGCATTTTATGCCTTATGATGGTGTATGGTGAGTAGAATGTACCAGAAAATATTCTGTAGGTTTGATATCAAATAAATTGCAATTTAAACATTTTGAATTATACTTTTTGCATTATAATATTGAACACAGTATATTTTTGATGACACTGCTTCAAACACAGGCAGCCCATTAGCTCAGTATGTGACTGTTGCGGCTAAATATAATGCAACAAACACTTTATAGCAATTTGTATGGGAAATTAACTTTAGGCCTAAATATACCTATATTTAGGCCTAGGCCTATATATAAGTGAAGCTTCGGTTTATGAGGGGAGACGCTAACCAACGACATCGCAAACATTCGTAAGGCACAAAATGGTCTAAACTGGACATAAATTGAGCCCAAGCTGCATCAAAGACACAGAGACAACCCTATGTTGAGGTGAGTGAAGTTTATTTGCACACTCATAGTTTATTTTAGTATATTTAGGCCTAAAGATAATTTCCCATACAAATTCTAAAGAGGGTGGCAAAGGGGAGTGTACCAATCACGCATCACGCTGAATTTTTCTATTAAATCGTGCATCACAGAGGGTTTTTTCACCAATCACGCATCACATAAACAGAAGTACTGTAAGTGCATCACAAATTTTACTTTTTCAACCCTAAAAGCATTGTTAAAAGTAGAATTCTGCCACCTCAACCACAGAAATGAATCGGCAAATATTCCAAACATTTCCCCCCGAAAATGTCAATTATTGCGCAAAATAGATGAGTGGTGACCCATACGGGAGACCAAGAGATTTCGACTGCTCCTGGATAATCTGGGAGAGTTGGCACCTTCTGTGAACAGGTTCCTGACAAGCGCCAAAAAATTAAATAGGGTGAGCAAAGCGAACCTAGAGGGGTGGGATTTTTCC